AAGCATACAGCTGAAGGAAAATACTAAGGCCACTGTGGATGAAGAAGTCTCTAAAATTAGACCCCACCAAATGTATTCATGCACACATCTTCAAGCCATGAGTCTAGTTATATTTCTTGCTTGTAAATCAGCAACACATTCCACAGAGGGAAACTCGGAGTCTCTTATCCAATCTCACAAAGAAGCACAGAAAAACCTTCAAATATGTGTGTGTGTGTGTGTGTGTATAATTTTTTCCCACAAAATTCTCTCCTTTGCACTTATTAGGACCATGTAACCAAAATGCAACACTTTTTCCCTGTTCCACAAAAACTGACTTCTCCCAGAAAACTTTTCTTATGAGTTTAAGAAGAAGCACAGCAGTCATTCAGAAACTGTTATCGACACAGAAGCATTGTCGTACTCAGTATTATCTTTTAGAAGTTGAAGAGATGACAGAGATGCTTAAGCAGTCCTGGGTCCTAAGAAAAACTTCCCCTAGAATCTTCATAAAAGGACTTAAAGCGGTCCAACAGAAGTTTATCAACCTGTGTTTGAAATTATTCACAAAACAACCACTATTACACTTCTAATGCTGTTACTTCTTTACACTAACAGTATCAGAACCAAATCAGTCAAATGCATACAGAGCCCCGATTCTTTCACCTCATATGAACTGTCCCCCATAGACTTGGCAGCTTTCAGCGTTCTGGCAAAGGTTTAAGTAAAAGCCTTAGCCTTGACACCAGCATTCCTACAAAGTGTTAAAAGCACACGTCAACCCCTCTGCCTTGCTAAGCTGGAGAAGAGCAGCCACGACAGCCCCAAAGAGAAACCTCATCCAGGTCACCCCAGCCAGAAGGTCAATGAAGGTAATAAATGCACCAACCAAGAAACAAGAAAGGAAAAAATAAATGAGGGATAACCCCCAGGACTCAAGAGGCCTTCTCCTTTTACTCCAAAATTTAATAGAGATTAATTTAGCTACAAACAATGATACCTAAAATGAATCTGTGAAAAAGGACCAAAAGGATCACATTCTCTAGAAATGAAAACTTGGGGTTGGTGGTGTGGTGTGGCAGGTTAAGCTGCCACCTGCAAAGCTGGCATCCCATATGGGCACCAGTCAGAAACTTGACTGCTCCATTTCTGATCCAGCTCCCTGCTAATGAGCATGGGGAAAGCAGCAACGGATGGCCCAAATGCTTGGGCCTCTGCACCCACATGGTAGACCTGGAAGAAGCTCGGGGCTCCTGGCTTCGGCCTGGCACAGCCCCAGCCATTATGGCCATTTGGGGAGTGACCCAGGGGATGGAAGAGCCCTCTCTCTCTATCTCTTGCTCTCTATAACTCTGCCTTTCAAACGAATAAAAAAAAAAAAACTTTATTAAAAAAAAGAAATTAAAAGTCACTCTAGTATTGTAAGAGAACGCTATATATATATATATATATTTTTTTTTTTTTTTTTTTTTGACAAGCAGAGTGGACAGTGAGAGAGAGACAGAGAGAAAGGTCTTCCTTTTGCCATTGGTTCACCCTCCAGTGGGCACCGCAGCCGGCGCACCGCGCTGATCCGATGGGCAGGAGCCAGGTGCTTCTCCTGGTCTCCCATGGGGTGCAGGGCCCAGGCACTTGGGCCATCCTCCACTGCACTCCCTGGCCACAGCAGAGAGCTGGTCTAGAAGAGGGGCAACTGGGACAGAATCCGGCGTCCCTACCGGGACTAGAACCCGGTGTGCCGGCGCCGCAAGGCGGAGGATTAGCCTAGTGAGCCGCGGCGCCGGCCAGAGAACGCTATTTTTACATTTTTGAGGTCAACTGTCTCTCCATGAACAGGGGAGTAGGGAGGACAATCCACAGGGCCACAACTATAAATACTAATATTTCACACTAATGAAAAACTCAAGGTGGAACCAACCTGCTTAGCTCTCTGGACCAAAGCAGCAAGGATGGCGATATCTGTGAACAAACCTGAAGAGTTTGAATGAGGTAAAAATTCTAGCCACGTGAGGTCTGTGATAACACCACAAACACTAGGGCCAGTATTCTGGTGCAGCAGGTTGCAACACTCCCATCCCATGTTGCAGGGACAATTCAAGTCCCAGCTACTCGGCTTCCATTCCAGCTACCTGCTAATGCTCCTGGGAAGGCAGCAGAAGATAGACAGCCCAAGTGCTTGGGCCCCTACCACCCATGTTGGAGACCAGAATGGAGTTCCTGGCTCCTGGCTTCAGTCTGGTCCAGACAAGGCTGTTGCAGCCACTGAGAATGGAAGATGGTCTCTTTCCCCTTTCTTTCCTCTCTTCCTGCCACTTTGCCTTTCAAATTAATACATCTTAAAAACAAAAAAATCACCAATACTACAGATTTCCACACTCCATCCTCCTCTGCCTTCAGAGTACTTTCATTCAATAACCTGAAAACACAAGATCTTTGTCAACAGACATGTCCCAAGAACTGACAGATAAATACTTCAACAAGTTCCAATGAGTACCTTACAAAATCCTAGTAAAATCCTATCCCACACGTCCAAGAACAGCCAATCAAAATCAGAAAGTCATGACGACAAGATCAGAGTTCAAGAATGAAAACCCTTCCTCCTTACCTATTCAGTCAATAAATTTGTTGCACACTTAACTACATGTCAACTGCTATGCTAAATGCTGAAGACAAAGCAATTAATAAAAATGAGGGGGTCTTCAGAAAGTTCATGGACATGTGCATTATGGAAAAAAAAAAGCATAGATTTCATAGATTTCAGTTTTTTTGGACACCAAAATAATTTTTGATTCCATTTTTTCCACGAACTTTTTGAAGGACTCTCCTATCTGCCCTCCTGAAGTCCTTCCCTAACGGGTGAGATGAAAATATACATTATGTTAAAAATTACTAAGAAGTAAGAAGAAAACTTAAGCAGAGAAGTGGGATAGGGAATTATGTACATGTATGTGGGGGAAAGGCTTTGCAATTTAGGTAGCCAAGGATATGTCAACAGCGACATTTGAGTACAGAAGGAACTGAAGGAAGTGCGGGGGACAGCTTTATAAAGAAAAGGTGATCCAGGAAGCGGGAACAACTGCATAATCCCTGGAGCAGAGAGTGCCTCCTATGCTCAAGAACAGCCAAGGGATCCTTGTGCAGGCTGGAGTGCTACAGATCCAGGCAATTGTGAAGACTGATTTTTACCCAGAAAAAGAAAAGAAGCCATTACCTCTTCTGACATCTTCCCATAAAAAAAAAAAAAAGAAAAAAGAAAGAAAGAAAGAAAAAGTTGGTGCCTTATATCTGGATTTTTTTAAAATTTAATTTGTTTAAAAGGCAGAGGAGAGGGAGGAGAGAATTGGTGAGGAGGGAAAAGGGGTGTTAGTGAGGTCTTTCTTTCCTTAGCTCCTTCACTCCCCAGAAGGCCACAATAACTAGGGCTGGAACAGGCCAAAACCAGAAGCCACGAATGTGGGCCATCCTCTGCTGCCTTCCCAGGCACCTTAGCTGGATTGGAAGCAGAACAACTGGGACTCAAACCAGCTGATATGGGATGCTGGCTCCACAAGTGGTGGCTGAATACTCTGCACCACAACACCGGCCCAAGGCTCATTATTTTTGTTAGGCAAGTTTTTAAAAAATGTCTTGAAGTGGGCATTTAGACTAGCAGTTAAGCCACTGGGATCTCACTGGAGTACCTGGGTCTCACACCTGACTCCAGCTTCCTCCTAATGCACACCCTGGTTCCTGGCTCTCAGGAGGGAGCCAAAGTCATTGTGTGCATCCGGGAAGTGAATCAGTGGATGGGAGCACTGTCTCTGCCTAAAAATAAATCTTAAAAATTTTTGAAATAATTATTTTTAACTGTGACGTTCTGCTGATAATTTAGTGGACACCAAAACCACTAGAACTGTAACTGTGAATTTCAGCTTCTGTGACAGAGTGTATCAGACTTTCAAGAAAAGTTTCTCTGTTCTATTGATATAGAACAGGGGAAGAAAGACACAATTAAAAAATGAACTGAAATAACCTATCACCTCCTATGCTACTTAAACTTTTGGGTCTTCCCGCCCCAAGCTCCGGAAGGGAGAGAAAGTACTGAAGGAAGAAGGGGGCTGGGGAGGGGCTGATGCGAGGAAGAGGAGCCACAAATTGATTCAAGTGTCGATCTGACTGAAAATCCAGCAAGACGCCAGAATTTGCGACGTGCCTACAGAGAACCTGTCACCTCCCGCTTCCTCAGATTCTCCACGTCACCTACCAACAACAGACAAGGCTATTAACCTGTTTCAGGTAAGTCTATTTGAAAAAAAAAAAAAAAAATACAAGGACATTCCATCCACTTGGAATCGATCTGAACATAAACTGTCCCACTTTTCTTTCTCTGCTTTGAATGCAGCCCTGGGGCTGTTGTCAGTTACTTCTCACATTATCCAAGAACAATTCAGTCTGAATAAGTAGATATTCGCTGCAAGTAATAGGCTAATGGTCACCACTGCTCGCGAGTGCAGGCTCTACGGGAAACCCATCTGATAAGTTTTCAGGGGCTCAAGAGTGAGTGAGGGGCTTAGCGTAGGCCCAACTTTTTAAGCTCCAGAAACATCACCCTGTTTGTGCCAACTCGAATCTGTGCTCCAGGAAGAAGCTCGGCCATCTCTCCGTGCCGTTTTCCCAATGTTCAGAGGAAATCGGGCACCCAAGAACCACATGGAGCCAGTCTCCCCAAGTACCACAGGGGCGCAACAGTTTTTAGGTCCCATCGCACAGGCCACAGGTGGCGCCGCCCCCCGCCCTCCGCCCCAAGGCCCCCGCTTCTCGCCTGCGCTCCTCGCGCACACTCGGGGGGTCTCCGGCCAAGGGCAAGTGCTTTCCGGCGGGCTCCGGCCCTGACCCACCGCCCCGGGGACCCCGCAGCTCCAGCGTGGGGAACCCAGGCCGAAGGGCCTCCGCCCGCCCGCCTGCCCGCCCGCGCGGCTGCCACGCCCCCTCCCCAAGGGCCGCCCGGGCCGCCCGCCCCCTCGGCCAGGAGGTGGCCTCACCTCACGCGGGCCGTAGCGGGAAGGGCGCCCGCGTCTCCGCCCGCCGCCCGGGCCCACGGCCCCTCGGCTGCGGCTCGGCCCCGACGGCCGGCGGCGGCGCGCTTCTAGGGGCGGGCTCTTCTCGGCGGGGGTTTCCCCCGGGCCCAGGGCGGGGGAGCAGGGGGACTGGGGCGGGGGAGGGGGAAGGGGCTTGGGAAGGAGGGGGGTGAGGGGAATAAAAGGGGGAACCAGACCCGGAGAGGGAGAAAAGGGGGGAGGGGGAAAATCAGAAGGGGAAGAAAGGCCCAGAGTCCGCCCCCCGCTGCGGCCTGCGCGCTGCGTCACCACGTCCGGCGTAGTCGTCACCGCGTCCTGCGTTCCGCGCGTTCCTGCTCCCTGCGTGCGCCTCTCGGCGCCGGCAGACGGCCACGGCCTTCCCGCTCTCTGAGTCCGGGCGCGCGCGCACTGGCTCGCGCCCGCGCTCGCCCTCTGTCGCTCCCGTCGCCTGCACCGGTGGGTCAGGCCGCCAGTTCCTGGACCCCAGGGCTCCTTAGTCCGCCTTAAACACGTCCACACTGCCAGGTAGAACCACTCCAGATTTTAATATAATGGTAATAATGATGACCTTTAATTTCAACTTAGCACTTTCAAACAGCCTCTTATTTACGCGCCCAAGAAGAAGCATATGCCCAATATTTATTTGTTGTACAGGTGGATAAAGGTACTTCCAGTAGATAAATGTCCATTTTTCGGATGAAGAAGCTGACTTAGAAGGAACTCAGGCTGTCCTGTTAAAATCACATTCTTAGCATCACCCCCTTTCTAAGGTATAGTTCTTTTTCTCAAAAGTCATTTTAAACTTCTAGCCTCCTCCATTCTATCCATTATAGCAGAATCAGCTTAGTTATTGACTATGTGTATTGGGATAATTCACTAACCAGCTTCCTCAAGTAAGCACTGTAATCTTAAATCTCTAGAATTCAACCATTAGTTACTATGTGACAGGAACTGAGGTAGGCAAGAAGAAAAATAATAATTATGGTACAGTGTAAGTGCTTTAATAGAGAGATTGCAATGTGTTATGAAAACAAAAGACAGCACAGTTCGTTCTTAGGGGGAAGATACACAGTAAGCTACAGAGAAACCACAGCTGAAATTTCAGCTAACCTTGTAGAATATAAATAGGAGTTTACCAGAGAGGTTAGAATGCAGATTCCAGCAAAATCATAGAGGTATGAAATTCATCTTTCCTTCAAGTTCTACTAAGTTCAAGTTGGGGGCAAGAAGCAGTAATGTCCAGGAGAAAATAATAGCCAATATTTGTATTATGTATGTACTGAGAGGTACTCAAAATGTTCATAAAAAAAGGGAATTTAAAGAATAAATTTGGAGGGCTGGCACTGTGGCTCACTTGGATAATCCTCCGCCTGCGGTGCCAGCATCCCATATGGGTGCCATTTCTAGTCCCAGTTGCTCTTCCAGTCTAGCTCTCTGCTGTGGCAGTGGAGGATGGCCCAAGTGCTTGGGCCCCTTGCACCCACATGGGAGACCAGGAAGAAGCAGCTGGCTCCTGGTGCAGCGCCAGCTGTAGCAGCCATTTGAGGAGTGAACCAACGGAAGGGAGACCTTTCTGTCTTTCTCTCACTGTCTATAGCTCTACCTCAAATAAATAAAAAGAAAAAAAGAGTAAATTTGTTTTCATGCAAAGAAATTTTTGAAATCCATGCACAGTTTTCATAATACATATTTTCCACATGCTATGAAAAAAAAACTGGCACCAAAATAAACTCATGCGTTTAATTTTGCTTTTTTTTTTTTAGAGGCAGAGAGGTCCCATCTGCAAATGGACTCCCCAAATGCCTACAATGGCCAAGACCAGGCCAAGCTGAAATCAGTCCAGGTCTCCCACATGAGCGACAGGGGCCCAACCACTTGAGTCATCACTGCTGCCTCTCGGATCTGCATTAGTAGGAAACTAGAGTCAGCAGCCAGAGTCAAGTGTTGAACCCAGGTACTGCAGGCTGGGATGTGGGCATCTGAACTGCTAGGCTGATACCTGCTCTCCAAAACTGTTTTTAAATTAGATAGTGGTATTGATTACACAGGTCGAATAGACTCAAGACCACTGAATTATACTAAATTGTACACTCTGAACTCACTGAATAAACTCAAAAACACTGAATTGTGCATCGGGCCTAGCAGTTAAAACACCAGTTGGGATGGTCATTTCCCAGATCAGACTACCTGGCTCTGCTTCGGATTCCAGCATCCTACTAAAGTACACCCTGGGAAGTAGCAGGTGATGGCGCACGTACTTGGATGGCTGCTGTCCATGTGGGTAATCTGGGTTGAGTTCCTGATTCCCGTTTTCAGCCTGGCCCAGCGCCAGCTGTTGTAGGCATTTGGGGAGTGGATCAGCAAGTGAGAGCTCTCTGTGTCTCTCTGCCACTCAAACAAAAAGGAAAAAAAAATGTAAATTTTATGGTACATGAATGATATCCATAAAATTGCCATTTTTAACAATATATAATGCTGAAAACTAAGAAATCTATCATGACCCCTATAGAGAAGAGTTGAAAGACTATGATATTCAAAAAAATCAATATGACTTTGGTGTAACCTCTGAAAAGCAGACTGGACTATAACATTTACTCATTAATAATAAATATGGTTTAAGGGGCCGGTGGTGTAACATAGCCGGTAAAGCCCCAGTCTGCGATGTCAGCATCCCATATGGGCACCAGTTTGTGTCCTGGCTGCTCTCTTTCCAATTTAGCTTCCTGCTAATGGTTGGGAAGAGCAGCAGAAGATGGCCTAGGTGCTTGGGCCACTGTGTGGCCCACGTGGGAGACCTGGATGAAGCTCTTGGCTCCTGGCCCAGCCCTGGCCATTGAGGACACTTGGGGAGTGAACAGAGGTGGGGAGGACCTCTCCCTCCCTCCTTCCCTCCTTCCCTCCCTCCCTCTCTCTCTCTCTCTCTCTCTCTCTCTCTCTTTGCCTCTGAATAAATAAGTAAATAAATAAGGTTTAGGCACCTGCATTATAGACCAGGCACTGTGCTTGTGAAGTAACAGCCAGTGGCAGAGACAACTTGCTAAGTGAGTGCACTACGGAAGGCACTTGCAAAGGGAGTCTGGGAAAACAGAAGGGTAACCATTGGCCAGGTTTCATCACGTGCAGAGGTGCAGGTACTCTGGTTCTTAAACTTATGTAGCAGGAATCATAAAATTTGATTAAGCACTCACTGGGTGCTGGCTATGGTTATAAGTGTTTTACAGGATTATTTAATTCTCAAAACCCTAATGAATAATCATTACAGGCCTTATAATTCCATATTCAAAATCCTAGGGCTAGGCATGTTTCAGAATTCAGAAAATTTCAAGTTTTAGAAAGTGAAATCCTAGTAAGCGTTCTGTCATTCTCTCATTCCTTCAATGAAGAAATCCAGTAACATGCCGGGGGACACACAGCTAGCAAGAGGAAGGGACAAAAGTGAAAAACCTGTGCTCCTGCCCTGCCCCCCCCCCCAGGTAAACCCTTGCTGTGGGGACAGAGGCTTTGCCCTTGAGATTCACCACTCAGGATCTTTGATGGAGAGAGCTGAGAATTCTGAGAAATCTCAAAACACCTTTTCCTGGGCAGAACAAACCCCAAAGGGTGAGCGCATCTGGATCTCAAGTCCCTTCTCAATGTCAGTCTTGCCCGTGAAGATGTGTGTAACCTAAGTCACTTCATAATGGATGGTCCGTCCCCCACCCCGACAAAACCCACAAAGGGGTAGCAAAGATGGCTCAAAATGACAGCACCGGGAGAGAGGCTGAGGCGTGGGACGCGGGATTGGTAAAACACTGGGCAAGGAAGAATGCAGCTCCTGATGTGACAGTGACCCAAAGGACACCTTTGGCACCAGTCTTAAATCCTCTGCTCTTCCCCTGCCCATGCCCCCAAGGCCTCCCAGCAAAGTCAGTGATCCTGAGGAGGAATTTCAGCTCTCTAACCTTTGTCCCCAGGCCTGGCAGCTCACATGGATGGCAGCTGTCTCCCAGCATTGGCCCGGGGACATTTCTTTCCCCAAACAAACCAACTTCTCACTTCCCACACTCTGTACTTTCACTGACTCATCTGCCAGATTCTACCTGTTGCTGGCTGCGTTTCCATGTCAGATGTTTGGCTGCTCTATGCCCTCCACAAAGGAGTTGTGCCAGCTGGACACACGCTCCTTCCAGAGCCCCTGACGGCTGGGACGGAGTTGAGACCACTGCTGTTGAGACCCTGAATTGGTGTGATTTGAGGAGGGCCCTCCCCCAGCAATGACCTCCTCATTGCTCCTGGCTTCTCTGTTCTTGGCTGTGGCCACAGTGGCCACTCCCAGAGGTGGCGATCAGTGTCCAGCATGCGGGGGGCCTGCCTTGGACCTTGAGAACCAGCGGGAATTGCTTCTCGAACTGGCCAAGAGAAGCATCTTGAACAAGCTGCACCTCAGCCAGCGTCCGCTCCTGAGCCGGCCAGTGTCCAGAGCGGCTCTGAAGACCGCACTGCGGCGCCTCCGTGGGCCTCCATGGGGAACACCTCTGGAGGACGTCAAGGGACAGGACTATGAGATCATCAGCTTTGCTGAGACAGGTGGGTTCCCAGTCTGTAGCTCTTCCCCAAAACCTGATCCTTCAAGGAAAGGGCATGTTTCCTCACCCACCTCCATCCTGACTCCCTCCCCTGAACCATCCTCTCCCACCCTGGAATCTGCTCTCACCCCCAGGCTCTCACCCCCAGCTCTTTCTGGTAGCTCACACCTGACCAATGAGCAGCTGGAATGCTGGTGAACTTCATTTCTTTAGAGACAGCCTGGCCCTCATCACCTCGGCCCTTTTCCCTGTAGGACCCACAAATCTCCATGGGCTGCAAGGGTGAGCTCTTCCATTGCTCAGGTCCGGTCACATTAGTAGCTTGAAATCAAATATGGTGCGAGAATTTATACCATCAAAACGGACAAACACTACAAATCAGGGACTTTACTACTTTCTTCCCCCACCCCACCTCCTGGGCCAGTTGTCAAATATTTACCAATACACCACTGCCTGTGTCCTAAAAATAGAAGTTTTCTGCCTCCCATACACTTAACATCAGTGCAAGGATGGGCACGATAACCTTCATGAGATCCTTCTGCTCAAAGTGGGGGACGCGAGAGCAGGAGGCTCAGAGTAGTCACTAACGCATAAGTTCTGACCTCCCTCCAGGCAAGTGCCTCCGTCTGCCCCAGACTTCCCTTGTGTAGGGCCTGGTTTTCCCTGGTTGTATTTTCCCACTGCTCACCACTTCTTCTGGGCTTGTCGACCCATACTCCTAGCCCTAGCCTTTCTACTTTCTCACACATCTTTCATTTTAAACAGGAAATGGCCTGTGTTTGTGGCT